GTCCCGCATTTGTATCCTTACATAAAGGGTGCATGCGCAGACTGCGCTAAAATAATATAAATGTCTTATATTATATTCCCCTAAACCCCAAGGGTTTGGATCGTAACCAGGTGGTAAAATCTTAATTTGCAGGCTTGCTTGTCAGGCCTCCCTGGTGCCTCCCAGGCTGTCCAAAGGTCCTTTCCTGCCTCCCTGGTGCCTCCCTGGTGCCTCGCAGGCTGTCCAATCGGTCCTTTCCTGCCTCCCTGGTGCCTCCCAGGCTGTCCCAAATGGTCCTTTCCTGCATCCCTGGTGCCTCCCAGGCAATCCCAAATGCCTCCCTGATGCCTCGCGGGCTGTCCAAATGGTCCTTTCCTGCTGGCTGGTGCCTCCCTGGTGCCTCCCCAGGCTGTCCAAAGGTCCTTTCCTGCCTGGTGCCTCCCCGGTGTCCAGATGCTTTTCTGCAGCCTCCCGGGCGCCCGTAGCACAGGATCCTCTTCTAAAGGCTTTCGTGGCACAGATTCCTCTTCTAAAGGCCCTCGTGGCTTGGCCACCCGGGTCGACTCCCGATTTTGGACGGGCACCGGATTTTGTCTAAATTTTAGTACAACTTCAATGGCAACGGCCCGGTTCGCGGCAAATCCTGGGGTGGGCCCCACAGTCGGCTGCCCGTAGCACAGGCTGGCCTTTAAAAGGCCGCTTGGAGCGCCCGTAGCGCAGAATTGCCTTTCGAAGGCTTCTCGTCGCCCACGCTCTTCTTCTACGGCCCCAAAGGTTTATTTTGGCCCGGGCGGGCCACCCCACACGCAAACCTTAAACCAGTCTTCTCTTCTTACCTACGCTCGGCCACAACGCCTTCCTCCGGTCGGCGTCGTGGCCTCGCTCCGTTTCGGCAGCGTCGGCTCTGTGCGCAAAGACACGTAAAAAATTTAAGCCTGCCCGGCGTCTGAGGGCAAACCCTAAATCCTAAAAGAGTTGTGTTTGGGTGGCCTTGGGGTGGGCTTGCCTGCAACGTGATGGCGTGCGCAACCCGATTCAGGGCAAGGCGGTGCCGGAGCAAGCGGTCGAGCGCAGCGAAGGCAGCCGGGGCGCTCAAGCGGCAGCTTGCCCTTAGAATGCATTACCCCTAAGCTTCGAATGGAGCGTAAAAACCTCGTAGCACAGGTTTCCTTTTAAAGCCTTCTCGAGCCTCCCGGGCTGTTCAACTGGCTCCCTGGAGCCTCCCGGGCTGTCCAATTGGCTCTGGAGCCTGCCTCCCGGGCTGTATAAAGAGGCCTCTGGAGCCTCCCGGGCTGTCCAAATGGGTCTCTGGAGCCTCCCAGGCTGTCCAACTGGCTCTCTGGAGCCCTGCCTCCCGGGCTGTATAGAGCCTCCCGGGCTGCCTAAAGGGGTCTCTGTAGCCTCCCAGGCTGTCCCATTGGGTCTCTGGGGCCTGGTCGGGTTTACCCGCCGCGAAGCAACGTTCAATGGCGACCGGCGCGTTTTGTGGCAAATCCTGGGGTGGACCGCGCGGTCAACTCAAACCTCTCCAAGTCTTGCCTCGGCAGATTCCTGGCGGCACACACGTATTCAACCTTGCTTTGTAGCCCCAATGCCAACCTCGTTGGCTAGACGATGTCGCCAACCTTGCCCTTCGTCCCAAAGCTAAACCTTCGACTAAGACTTTTTTCTTGCAGTGTTTTGGCTTGACGACGTCGTTTCCAACCTTGCCCTTAGTCCGAAAGCGAAACCTTCGACTCATACTTTTCCCTTGCAGAGTCCGAGGCGCGCGCTCGCGACGGGCGGACGGCCGGCGCTTCGCTCGCTCCTTCTCGCTCGCGCCGCCCCTCCGCCGTCGATCGTCGCCACTTCGCCACCCCGCATCTCCACGTCCAGGGAAGCCGATAACTGAAAGAGAAAAGTTGTTGGGCCAGGCCTGAGGGTTCAAAGAACCCTAAACCCTAAAAGGTTAAGGTTTGGGTGGAGCGCCAGCGGGGGTGGGATTTGTCCGCGGACGCGTGCGCGCGTGTGAATGGTGAGGGGGGGCGTGAAAAAAAAATTGGATAGCCCCCCCGTGAACGCACACGCGCGCTTGACCATCGACACCCTAAACCCTAAACCTTAAACCCTTGAATCCAAGACCATGGGTCCTCTCATAGCACAGGATTGCCTTTAACAGGCCCTGGTGCCTCCCTGGTGCCTCGCAATTAGTCCTGGTGCCTCCAGGCTGTCCAATTGGTCCTTTCCTGCCTCCCTGGTGCCTCCCTGGTGCCTTGCAGGCTGTCCAATTAGTCCTTTCCTGCCTCCCTGGTGCCTCCCAGGCTGTCCAATTAATCCTTTCTTGCCTCCCTGGTGCCTCACAGGCTGTCCAATTGGTCCTTTCCTGCCTCCCTAGTGCCTCCCTGGTGCCTTGTGCGCTAAAATAATATAATGGCTTATATTTTATTCCCCTAAACCCCGAGGGTTTGGACCGTAACCAGGCTGGGAAGTCTTAACTTGCAGGTTTGCTTGTCAGGCCCTCTGGAGCCTCCCGGGTGCCTCCCAGGCTGTGCAAATGGTCCTTTCCTGCCTCCCTGGTGCATCAAATCATCCTTTCCTCCCTCCCTCGTCGGGATTACCTTTAACAGCCCTTGGTTCCTACCTCCCTGGCGCTTCCCTGGTGCCTCGCAGGGTGTCCAATTAGTCCTTTCCTGCCTCCCTGGTGCCTCCCAAGCTGTCTTTCAAGACCCTTTCGTAGCACAGGCTTGCCGGTCGAATCCCGATTCTCGATAGGCGCCCGTTTTTGTCTTACTTTTATGCAATTTCAATGCCGATCGGCCCGGTTCGCGGCAAATCCTGGGGTGGCTCCACGGCCGGTTGTCCAGCCTGGAAGGTCTGTGACAATTAGTCCTTTCCTGCCTCCCTGGTGCCTCCCAGGCTGTCCAAATGGTCCTTTCCTGCCTCCCTGGTGCCTCCCAGGCTGTCCAAATGGTCCTTTCCTACCTTTCTAGTGCCTCTCCCTGCGGGACGATGCCGACCGGCCCGGTTCGCCAACAGCTCCTTTGACCGGCCCGTGGCCTGAAGCTTGCTTCGCAGTGCCTTCGTGGGGTCCTCTAGAATGCGGAAGCCTTATCTCGAGACTAATTTGAAGGAGTCAGCAGCTCCTTCCTTTTAGCTCTGGGATGAGGAATCCTTATCTCGGACTAATTTGAAGGAGCCAGCAGCTCCTTCTCTTTAGCTCTGGGATGAGGAATCCTTATCTCGGGACTAATTTGAAGGAGCCAGCAACCCCTTCAGCTCTGGAACCTTATCTCGGGACTAGTTTGGAGGAGCCAGCAGCTGCTTCGCTTTAGCTCTGAGATGAGGAATCCTTATCTCGGGACAAATTTGAAGGAGCCAGCAGCTTCCTCGCTTTAACGCTGGGATGGGGAATCCTTATCTCGGGACTAATTTGAAGGAGCCAGCAGCTCCTTCGCTTTAGCTCTGGGATGCGGAATCTTTATCTCGGGGCTAATTTGAAGGAGCCAGCAGCTCCTTCTCTTTAGCTCTGGGGAGGAATCCTTATTTGAAGGAGCCAGCAGCCCCTTCAACTCTGGAATGAGAAATCCTTATCTCGGGATTAATTTGGAGGAGCCAGCAGCTGCTTCGCTTTAGCTCTGAGATGAGGAATCCTTGTCTCGGGACCAATTTGAAGGAGCCAGCAGCTCCTTCGCTTTAACGCTGGGATGAGGAATCCTTATCTCGGCCAGTGCCCACCCCTGAAAGGCACGATCCCCAATGTGCCTCTCTGAGCCGCGGAGCGGGTACATACCCTCGACTTCGTCCAACGACCCGACCGGCTTGCGGTGCAACCCTAAAAGGCATGATCCTCAATGTACACGATGGGCCGCTTGCAAAAACAAGAAAAATAAAAAATCGCTTTAAGCAAAAACAAGTTGTGAATCAGAGTCATTGTCATTGTCACCTACATGATGCTGTAGCCGGCGCAAAGCAGGGTGTGGCTCTGGCTCGTCGCCAGCCTTTGCCTCCATCATGGACCGAAGTATCAACGCCAGCCAGTTTGGGCTGTCTGACCACTGCAGGAATCCTAAGGTCCTAATAACAGTCCTGAATACCAAATGGGCCACAAAGCTACGGGATACGTTTTTCCAATCTTGCGGCTACGGTACGACCCCACAGCCCTGACTTAAAATCAAACCAAGAAACGTTTGCAAAGCACCGGTCTTTGCACAGCGAGCAACCACGCCAGTGTCTATGCTGTCGCCACAAAAATTCGAGACCCTCTTCGGCTTCCATGAAGACCACACGAAACATTTGCCAGGGCCAACTCTGTTGCGGCATAACCACCCTTCGGAAGGTGTCAACCATAGACTGAAGGATGAGGGGAGCACACTCCACATATGACACCCCGAAGAACGGACACCACTTCGAGGAGTCTGGAGGCTGCAACAGGAGGTCGAAAAAATCTTGAACTGCGCACCGTCCCTCTACACCTGTGAGCACCTTGTAGTTCATTTCAATCAGCTCCTCCACATGGAAGGGGCACTTGCTACCCTCCAACCGCTCCAATCCAAGCAAATCTTGCCGAACTCGAACGCGGATAGATTCCACCAATGAAAGGTGATTCATAAACCTTGTGAGTGGCTGTGCAACGACTGAAGTTTGCCCAACCATCTCCTCGATAGTCGGTCGATACGTCGATCCGTGAAACAGAACATCATAATCTCTTCACTTTACAACATCAATCAACTAAATCTATTACAAAAGGTTAAGGGCAAGTCGACAACTACAAGGGCAAAGGCAAAGGGGCCAATGCATTTGGAGCGTTGAGGAAAACGTGGACCTTGTTCATTCTGACTTGCTGTTTCTTCCCAGGAGCGGCATCAGTACAATCCTCATCCATGAGCTTGATTTGATCGTCCCCAAGCTCTTCATCGTGGCCCTTGTCCATGCAGCAACTCCAAAGAATGGATACTCAGGCCGCGAATCACATAGGCAAGGGCGCTGTCGATGTGCTTCCACCTGTACAGTAGAGGCGTCTCAAATATATTCCCGAAGGCAACCTCGAGCGCCTGCCGCATTTTGAACTGGAAGTCCTCTTTTGTCTTGCAACAATTTGGCTTGCAGAAGTGTAGCAAAGAACCATTGTTCAAAGGGCAGCCCCAATCATTGTTGAGCATGCTCAAAATCAATTCTTGCCCGTCCGAGTTCTGCAAATCGCTGCTGCAAAGATTCAGAACAGCTCTGTTCTGATCAACCTTTGCCGACAATGGTACTTCCACCACTTCCATCCTCACAGCTTGTCGGGCCAATGCATCCAAGCTATTGGCCAAGCGGGAACGAAAGAGAGTCGTTTTAGATGCGTGGGCCATTCTGACAAGGTTGGTGGCTAAGCCCTCTGCGGCAAGAATAATGGGCTTCTTGGCTTAAACAACCTTGGTGGTGCATGCAAAACGAGAAGGCCTGGCAAGATATCGAGCCATCGGTACCTCTTGTCTGGAAACGGGACTGCTCCACCCCTGCCACGCTGAGGTTGGCTGTGAGCGAATCAGTGCAAGTCACATACATCTTGATCTTGGCACGGCCAAGCATCTCCCGAGCTTCATCTCCGCAAACATGTTCCCCACGCACTTGTGAAAGCATTGACCATTTTCCGACCCGATGCAGCAAGGTTCCAGCATTAGCCTTGGGCAAGACTTGCGCGGGCGCATGAAGCTGCACAATGTCTAGGTCTCTGTCTAGCTTTCCTGATGACAAGACGTTCAATCAATCCCAGCACTTGGCACACCTTTCTTTTGCCTTGCTTGCCAGAGTTCGAGCTGGTTTTCTTGGCCTGACACAAGTGCGGGTCACTGCCATCATCCACAAGGTCTTCTGGATGAAAGGCTGCTTCGATTGTAGCCTGCTGCTGCGGAGCCACCCAGGCATTCGTGTCGTCAACAATTCTAATGCCCGCGATGTGCTTCACACAACCAGACTGCAAAAGGGAGACTAGCCCTGCGTATTGGGCCTCAACATGGGACACTGCCCCGACCTGCTTGTATCGCTTCAGCTGTGAATCGCTGCGGCCGTAGGATTGGAAACCAGCAACGGTTCCATCAGCTTGGTTGAAATAGCTGTAGGTTTGCCTTGGATTTGGGAGTGGCCGCCACCGGCTACACACTGACTGTGTTCTGACTTTGGTACTTGATGAATCGGAATAAAATGCGATTCATTACATTCAGATTCAGTTCAGTTATCGAGTTATCGGCTATCGGCTATCGACTATCGAAGTTATCGGCCAAAACACGTCCTTTGGGTCGCAGCGCTGTTTCTTCCGCAAGCCCACCTGCTAAAAGCGACACGGGCAATGTTGTGGTTCAAGGAGCTGGCCAGGCTCTGAATGCTAGCGGCTTCACGCACCTGCTTTGCAGCTAGACCGTTCGAGACTGAGACGCCATGCTTCTTGCCACGCGAATAGTTCTTGCCAAGCTGAATGGCAGCTGGAATGACATCAGCCTGCCCCTGATTCCCCTCATCCTACCGGCGCGCAGTGCAATAAGACTTGAAGCTCCTCTCTTCTATCTATCTATCTATCTACCTAATCTACTCTATTCACGGTTTGAAAGTTGGTTGAATCATAGAAACATAACATAACATAACTTCACAAACTGTTTTGAAACATGTGTTATCACAAAGTCACCGGCAAAGAAAGAAACAAAGGTGGTGTCCTCCGTGCCGTCATGAAGTCCAGGTCCAGGCCCACCTTCCACATTGCTGGACACTGGCACAGTATCAGGCTGCACGGCCCTCCTGTTCCGCCGCCTGCCCCTCGAATCACTCGCGTAAATGGCGCGCATGCCACACGAAAATGATCCACCCCCTGCAACGGCTCAGAACATTGGTTTGAGCGCAGCTAACAGCCTCCGGTAAGGCGCCAATGACTTGCCAATGGTTCGACATGAAAAAACGCCGATAACTTATCTATCATAAACTTGAGCTCACTCACTTCGGTCGACAACTTTCGGGCGGTAGCCAGCCTGGTAAACCGCACCGGCAGGGGTGGAGGAAGCGCGCTTTGCTGCTCCAGAAACGTTCTCCAAGATCACCAGCCTGCCACTCAAGCCAGCAACAACGCGCATGGCAATCTACTCGCTCGTGAAACATCGTGGTCTCTTAGTGGGTTCTTTTCGGTCTTGCTTTTTTTGTCCTCTAGTCCATAGTCTCCAAGTGTTCAGTGTCAAGAACTAAATCCAAGCAGCCGTGGACGATATTGTCTAACGTACCGACTGATTCAAGGAATGGTAAATCTTTTTTTGCCTTGGTGTCAACTTCAGATTTCGATCCCTCTCTCAGCCCGTCCCTCAGCAACGTGTCCAGAAACACATATCAAAACGCATTTCTCATCAATCATAGTTTGAGTTTCAAGCTGCAACGGCCTCCGACTTGGATTGAAACAGCATCGAGACATCTGCAGTCTTGAACCTCGTGGTCGCCTCTTGTGAAAAAAGTTTACACGTAAAGCCAGCAATGAATATGTCTTGTTGAGCTTCGTCACCGTCCACGATATTCTCCAGCCCAGGAACTACCTAAGCCTACAGCCGATGCCGCCTATGCCTATGATTCGATTCTCTAAAAGTTCCAAACATTGAAACTCAATGACCAGCTCAACTCACAGGGGAACCTTTGGTAGTGAAGGTGGATCGCAGTGGCCGTTGTGCACGGCGCAGAACCCACCCAGCCTACAATGGCGCTGCAAACCTACGACGCTAGATCACTAGGTGAACTAAGTACAACAAAACCAGCCCCAACCTGCTTGAGGTCATGTTCTCAAAGCAGTGGGTCACAGCATTGTTCTGCAGGAACCACTGTCGGGTCGGCAACTCGGCGCCGCACAGACCCTAGTGATCCCTAGTGTCTTTTTTAGTCTTTGTCACTGTCTCTGATTCTCTCTGAGCATCGCTACTACAAGCTACTAGGGGCTCCTGGCCTTACTACTAAGAGCAAGGAGGCTACTGGGAGGCTCCTGGCATCGCTACTAGGAGCATTCTGAATTCTTGCCTACTACAAGCTACTAGGGGCTCCTGGCCCTACTACTAGGAGCAAGTACGCTACTAGTGGCTCCTGGCATTGGTACTAGGAGCAGTGCTGTCAGTATCCGTGTTTGCAAAAAACACATTTCAATTGAAGCATTCTCGAGTCATCATCACGGTACAGCGACGCCAATGACAGCGACATGGGCGGTCAACGGCAGTCCCAAACCCTGCTGCCCTGTCCTGTCTGCATCCTTCTATCCGCTTCTACTGTCAAACGCCTTTCCAAAAGCAGTGCTTTGGTTCGCTACACATGGTTTTGGCACATGCCACAGCCCTGCCCCCCGTGAGGCATGAGATGAGCCTGAACTGCGCACAGCCTGCTCAAACTGGTGCCACATCTAAAACTCGCTAATGTAATGTTGGTATTCCACCACAGCACTTCATGTGCAAAGAGACAACTTCACAAAACACATGAGAAAAATGCAGGCTTCACTTGAAACTGCTTCGCTTAGCTGCTTTTGTTTGACTGACCCGGTGCGTAACACCAAATTTGTATGCCCTGGACCCTAACGTTACCCAGTTATGTTTCCAAGTTGATCAAGCCGTGGCCCAAAAATTGCAACGCCTGGCACTCAACGTGACCCTAACATCTCCATTCGTGACCCAGTGTTGTTTCCAAGTTGATCAAAACGTGACCCCCCAAAAAAAGCCCCTGGCACTCAACATGACCCTAAAATCTCAAT